AATTATAGACAATGATATGAGTGAATGCATACCTATCTGGCTGGATTGTTCTTCTGACTTCTCTCTATTTGAGTCGTCCTCAATCATGGCATCAAACTCGTCATCACTAATCTCTTCATAATCATTCTCTATGAGTAATTCAGCAACCTCCCCCGGGCTTTTGTTTGAAACAGATTCACTTTCTACTACAATTTCCCTTTTTTCTAGTCCCACATTATCAGTGTTCAATGAATTATCTTTTGCACCACATTCTGAAGTGCGTGAAATTACTTCCATTCCTTCTGATTTACTATTAGTCCTTTCCCTGCCAGATACCTCTAATTTAGATTTAATTTTTTCTATATCTCCTTCTCGATCACTTTCTCGTCCCCTTCCCATGTCTTCTTTTTTATCAGACCTATCACTATCCCTATGAGTCCTACCTTCCCATCGTTTGTACTCAGATCCCACTGAACTATGTCTGCTTGATGTACTGCCAATGCTAGGACTGCGTCCTCTTAGAATTCTTTCCTGCTCAATAAAACTTTCAAAAATCTTTTTAGTTTCCCTATCCTTTTCCTGGTCATTGTCCTTTACACTATCCTTTTCCCTATTATGCTCTTGTCCAAGTCTTTCTTTACTGTTGGTCCGAGAGGAGTTTCTACTACTAAGTCTCTCTGTTTCTAATTTTAGTTTACTCTCTTCAGTTTGTTTATGATCTGTCATGTCATCTTGTTCTGCACTATTACTTCTACTCTTGGCACTGCTAGCTTCAATCAAAGAATCTTCACTTGCATTTGACCAATCACTAAACACCTCCTCTGCGGGCAATCGTTCCTCTACAGTCTCTGAGGTTTTCTCCTTTTCTATATGTCTTTCTTCTTTTTCTTCTCGTCGTCTGGCTGCAGGACTGTTTTCCATTGAAGTTCTTCCCAGTCTTGCAATCCTGGGCACTTCACTTGTGATTTGAGGACTTTCTCGACGTTCTCCACTCCGTCTTCTTTTTCTAAATGGTGATTCACTGCCAGACAGATCCTCAAGATCAGAATGTTTTCGTTTAAAAGTTTGTCCTTTGAAATGAGTACTATGCTTGATGTCTCTCTCGGATTCAAACTTTCCATATGGTGGTCTAATCTTCCCTCTTTCAAGCCCTCTATCATTCCCACCAGGAACATATCCTCTATATCCTGGTCTCTCAGGAATTTTACTTTTGAAACCACGTTCACCATCATAGTATTTTCTTGGTGGATATCTGCTTTCCCTGAGTTCATCTCTCAAGTGATCTGGAGGATATCGATTATCTCTTAGGTCAGGTGGATAGCGTCTTCTTTTGATTGGCGTAGGAATTATTTTACTTGCCATCTTTGGTTCTCTGTGATCTCCTTCAAGACTACTCGTACTCTGACTAGCTGGTGACTCCCTGTGACTTCGTCTTCCCCCAAATGGAGAGATTCTTTCCTCTCTCATTCTTTCTTCCCTCAACTTTCTTCTGGGTAATTCCATTTGTCTTTCATGTTGTCTTTCTTGCCTGGTAATGTCTTCTTGTTTTCTTTCCCATTCATCTCTTCTAGATTCCCTTTCTTTTCGGATCAGGGCTTCTTCTCTGTACTTTTCCCCTTTTCTCTCCACTCTATCAACTACTTTATCTTCTTTGTAACGTTTTACACATTCTTGGCTTTTATCTCGACTTCTAGAATCATGGGAATTCGGTCTGCTAGTCTTTTTCTTCACTTTTTCTGTGGAGATAGAAAATAAAACTATAAATAAAACAGGCATAATACAAGATTTCTAAATGTCTGTTTTGGGTTGAATGTCATGTAGTTATGTTCTAGCAAGTTTGCACACGGTGTGCAAAGCTCCATTTGTATCACTGATCAATGTGCTGTGTGCAATAACTTCTCACTCAACCTTCTAATGCTACATCAAATCATGGCAAATGTTCTGTTCTTCATCCGAAAAAACCCACTAGTTATTAATAATTTTCGAGGATGGGTTTGAATGATCATTTGTTTCCATTCAATTGTTTATTGCGTGTTACGTGATTCTTCGCTACAAATACGTAGATGATTCATGCGCCAGTGTTGGTGCCAGAGCTTTGTTACTTTGTTTCTAATTTCTAGTTGGTCGCATGCCGGTCATGCGCAGCACTTTTAGTCTCAATTTAGTGAGCAGTGTATTGTGATGTGTACGTTGTTCCGCTGAATAAAGATTCACTGACAATAGATCTGCTTCCTATCTATTCTTGGAAACTGGGAAAGTGTTTCGTGGGACACATTCAAGCGTATACAAAAATTCACTTATCTAAGGTCCCTCGTAACTGATGAAGCCTAACAACTAATCAATAGTTACCAGACTACCGAAACAAAATACAAGTCAGCCTACGCACTATTGGAGAAACGCTATACTGATAAACAATGAATTGTACAAGCACATATGGAAGCATTGTGGTCTCATCCAGCACCGAGTTATAATGCGACATCGCTTAAAGACTTCCACGATAGCCTTGAAACCATTGTGCAATCGCTCACAGTTCTGGGAAAGCCTGAATCTGGACATAAAGAGCTAATAATTCCACTTCTCAAAAAGTTACCCTCCCGATTTCGATGTGACCTTGCTCGATCAAACGGTGATCAAACATGGACATTGGCAACTCTCAGTATAGCGATGATACGTGAGATACGCGTACTTGAAGTCGGGCTGGATGAGGACAATATTGACAGTACATCATACCCTTTGTCTATCTCTGCATTTACCACTCGCACTCAATCTACTGAAGGTAACAAAGTAGCAACAGTGCAAGGTAATGATCACAACAAATAAGAATATAACCAACATAATGCTTCTCTATGATCTAATGACGTCCAAACTGCCACACTGCATATACTGTAAACACAACACAACTGTCATGTTTTAAGCTTTCGACCCGACAGACTCAACTTTATACACAAAAATAAACTATGTTATAACAGTCTTGTCTCATATCTAGCGTGTGAATGTCGCTCCCAGTGGACATGTTACTCATGTAAGAAAAAACACCATTTCTCAATACATTCGGACTCCTCGGCTAGGGCAGCGCAAAAAAATTCTGAAACTGATGTAAACTTTGCGCATACTAATTTTTTTCTTGATGGGCCGTCAACAACGAACCTAGCGCCACCTCCGCATGTGCTTCTCAAAACAGCTTGAATTACTACTAACGGTATTAGTAATGGTAATTCTCAGGTCGCCACAGTCCTATTCGATGAAGGGGCTGACTGGAGTTTTATAACCACTGAGTTTGCTGCCTTGATTAAAGCAGGGATCCCAAGGCATTTTCGAATAGCAAAACTGGGTATAAAACCATACCACGAACTGCAGTCGCTCTCCTACAACGATCTACGTAACATACCACACTTACGGAACCTACATGTACCTCTAGTGCACCCAATCACAAGTGACACCACACTGACAATAGATGGACTTATTTGTGCGGATTGGTATTGGGACTACATAGGAAACCACATTATAAGTTGAACCGGTCCAGTAGCAGTTTCCTTTCCCTTTGGTTATTTATTTCGGGACCAGTCTATTCAACTAAAAGAAGAGGCCATAATACGCATACATTTCATATTTCCTCAATCAGAACACCAGACCGCGAGCTCTGTAAACTCGTCGCCAACTATTGGGACCTTGAAAGGGTAGGCATCCATGACACCATCAAAGATGAACAACATCGCCAATTTGTTGATCATTGCTTGTCCAGCAAGGACGGAAGGTACATCACTAAGTTGTCATGGCGGCCAGATCATGATATTTTGACGACAAACCTACAGAAATATGATCAACAAATTGCCAAGCTAACTTGTGAAAGTTTACAACACCATCATACGAGATCATCTTAAGCAGGCTTCATTGAGGAAGTCACCGAACCAACTGTGAACACCTTGCTGACGTTGATACTAATTCGATTTTGCTTAAACCCAATAGCTATGACGGCAGATATTGAGAAGGCTTTTCTGCAAATACAACTGGATGAATCCGACAGAAAAGTCACTAAATTTCTGTGGTTAAGCGACCCAACTGACATTGACAATTTTAGGCAATATTGTTTGGCGCAACCAGTTCACCTTTTATTTTAAACGCGACACTACGACATCTGACATCTGCAATTAATTTGCAAAAGAATTTACAGGTGGGCGACGTGGTTACTGGCTGTGCAACACCAATTGCAAGCTTTGCAGTTTTACAAACAATCTACTGAAATGCCTGCTACACGTGTACAAGTGTTAATGGCAGTTTGTCCAGCACTTCCCAGATAAAAATTGGAGTACCACAATGTTCAATATTGAGCCCCCTGTTCTTTTTCATTTTCATAAATGACCTACCATCAGGCGCAAAATTATGCAAAGCGGTTTTATATGCAGATGATTGTTTAATGCAGCAGATGGAATTAAATAGATAATTATAAACATTGAAAAACTAAAATTCATGTAGTTGATAATTCTAAATATTTAGGCGCTATTTTTGTATTTGAATTTTAATGATCATGGAAATATGATTTCTGTTTTAAGACGACTTGGAGCCATTTGGGGAAAGTTTACATCAATATCTGAAGCACTGTCGATACTAACTAGCACCTCATTAACCAGCAATGGAAAATGCAGTCAGCTATAATTATGTTTAAATGCATGCATAATATTGTACCATTGTATTTGTCATCAAATTTCCAAGAATCATATATCCGTAAACAATACACTCGCTTTACTAGAGCGGTACTGATAATAATTTTTGTCCGATTAAAAAAAGGAATCAACAAGCAGCCTGTCAGCTGAGATAGTTCCGCTGTTAGCAATGCACATTTCAATTAAAGAACTGAAGACATCATTAGAAAATGAACAATATGTATAGTATCAAAGCAATAGGACTTACAGTTTTTAACATGAAGTCGAAAATATCACTTTCTACCAAAAATGACCAAAATATTCACCAAAATTAGAGAATTGAAGATATCATCACGAAATGAACAAATCTAAGAAAGGTCTACATGTAGTATCTATATATGTCATATCAAAGCAATTGAACTGTTGGTTTTAATAAGAAGTCGAAAATATCACTTTTTACCAAAAATTACAAAAATATTCACCAAAATTAGAGAATTGAAGATATCAACATGAAATGAACAAACCTAAGAGAGGTCTACCCAAGGTACATATAGACCAAGTATCAAATCATTCAGGTTGTAGTTTTCAAGAAGAGGTTGAAAAAGTAAAACATTGACGACAATCAATCATATGATAAACTCCGCTCGACAGCGGAGCCAAAAAAATACATTTTTCTATAGAGGCATCTCATTATGGCATAGTTCGCCTGTTGAAATAAAATTACTAGATGATATTTGTATTTTTAAAATTGCTGTCAAATATTTTAAAAAGTAGTATGTTTGTATTTTATTGTATGAAATTATTTTATTAATTTTAATCTTGTTATTAATGTATATATTTCATGTATATTTCATGCAGGACTCAATTGGAAAACATAGAACTCCTTTTGGAGGGAAATGAATGTACTATGTTTCGTACATAATATTAAAGCTTAGCTAACTCGACCGCCATTGGACATTTCTAAATGCCATGGAAATGCACCCACTGAATCCAAGATCAACAACGCTGAGCACAGGTGGTTGAAAGCTGTTCAACACATTCACTACCGAATAAAATTCTCAATTTACGGCGCCGGGCGAAACAAGTTGGACTACTTTGTAATCAACTCAAGTTATTTCTCGATGATGACATGATTTTCGAGCAGGCCGACTCCAGAACACATCTCCTTGATAATATTCATCCAATTTTTGTACCAGGTAAACACGTTTTCAAGTCAGTGGTCATACATGATATCCACCGTCGTTTACAACATGAAGGACCAAATGCAACCGCAACCAGTATACGTGAACGCTACTGGATTATGTATATTCGCCAATATGTGAACATAGAACTCAATAAATGTGTGGTGTGTAAGCAAGTAGATGGGTCAGCCTATTCCAAACCAATCCCTGCTCCACCTCCTACCTTCCAAGTTCAAAAATCAGACCCCTTTTCCATGTGCGGTATCGACTATACAGGACATTTATTCAAAATCAGTTGTGAAAACCTATTTTTGTCTGTTTATGTGTGCAAAATAACATAAGCAGTTGACTTGTGTGGGACTTAACAACAACATCATTTATTCAAGCCCTCTGATGTTTTTCAGCTAGACGTAGTAGTTATTAAATTAATTATTTCGGACAATGCCGTCAATGAACTCAAAACCCTTATGTTGATCCCGCAGTTCAGCTATACTTGACAAATAAATAAATAAATCACCGAATCGAGCGTATGATAGCCATTACAAAGACTAGCCTAAAGAAAATTTTCGGTCGCGAATGTGTAATATTTATTGAAATGGAGACAATTGTGATGGAGATTGAGTCAGCAATCAATGATTGTTCTCTTACACATATTTCTACTGACGACTTACGCCCTCCCACTTGGTCAACGGAAGAAATATTTGCTGCTTACCAAGGCAAACAGTCATCATTTCATAGCAGATCCTCAGTCAGCCAATTGGCACTATGCATATTTAACTACCTTGTTAACCACATTTTGAGAACAACACCTTAATCAACACAGAGGAGTTAAAATCAATACTGTTGTTACCGGGAACAGACGGTATAGTTCGTGCTGTGAAACTTTCAACCAACAACGGTTCCACAAATCAGTCTGTAACTCAATTGACTCCATTAGAGCAGTCTACTGAATCTATGACCAAATCACATCTAACACAAGGTTTGATTTCTGCACCCAATATTGATCATCAAGACGAACAAGCCAGAAGAAGGTCACACGCAAGTAGTTCCACCGGGGACGGTGACCAAAGGCCACACGCAATGAGTGATGGTGAATCCAACCAGCCTTGCCGATCGAAAAAAGCGACGACTCGCATAGCTGAACGAAGAATTGGAAGTCCGATCCTGCGCGATTTTGTGGGACACTAATAATAATAATATTTCAATGATTACAAACCTTTATTTTCATAATCGGCGTTATGATGTACTTTCTTTCAAACTGCTTTGCCTGTAAAACTATACTGTTGTGTTTATTCATGCACATTGTTATTATATTGTTCACTTTATTATCATGGAAATGAAACGCACCTCATTCGAAAATTATGCTAGACACATCTTTTGCGGCTGGAGTATGTCGGGGATGGATTTGAATGATCATTTATTTCCATTCAATTGTTTATTGCGTGTTACGTGATTCTTCGCTACAAATGCGCAGATGATTCATGCACCGGTGTTGGCGCAAGAGCTTTGTTACTAATTTCTAGTTGGTCGCATGCTGGTTGTGCGTGGCTCTTTTAGCCTCAATTTAGTGAGCAGTGTATTAAGATGTGTACATGTACGTTGTTTTACCACTGAATAAAAATAGGTTGACAAAAGATCTGCTTCCTATCTATTCTGGGAAACCTTCAAGTGTTTTGTGGGACACACTCGAGCATATATTGTTCTCAACCACAAATTTGCACTCTTGAAAAAACAATTGTTTTTACTACCATGACATAATAGATTTTCTTATAGTAATTACATGTATACTACAGCTAATAAAGAGACAAGCCAGTAGGCTGGTTGGTGATCCTCTCCGCTCAAAAACAAGCAACATGTTTTTGGCTGTTTCCATGGTGTAACATAAACGTGAAGCTAACGTCAGTTTATAAGTAAATGGGCAATATACGAAGAGGAAGTCACTTAGTTTATTACTAGGACGTATTCTTCTGTTACATCATTTATTATTTCCAACTGTTTTGCAATAGTATTTTCTAGAATGAAGGCAGCATTTACAGTTCATTCAAACTTCAAAGTTGCGTTGGGATTACGTTGATACAGTGTAATAATGTCGGTGTCGGTAGTCTCTTACCAGAGCGCAACGTAGCCTAAATAAAAAGCATGATCATTTGAACACTGTTAAACTGGTAGGAAGTAATACATTTGGGGCGAAAGTAATCAAAAATCAGTTTTTGGATGTTGCAATGGCAGTGGTGGACCCAGTGAGCCAGGATTTTTTTTCCAATTAGTGACGGTACGACCTACCTCAGCCAAGCTGAAAAAATCACAGAGGAGTTAAGAGCCGTTGCTGGGGAAAAGTTACCCTAACTTTGAGGTCAAATTTCTCGGTAATGAAAAAAGATATCAAAAATTCAAATAGTACTTTGTGCCCACACTCAAGCTGAGTAGAATGAGCTATGTCTGAAGTGTATTATCCTAAATTTGTAGGAGGAGCGAAGCTATCCAAAAATCAGTTTTTTGGTTGTTGCTATGGCAACGGTGGGCCAAAATTTTTTTTAAAACTGCATGATGATTTTATTGTGACTGCAAAGCAAATGTTCATACTCTGTGAAGTTTACCTGGGAAAGGTGACAATTTTCTCTCTTTTTCAACTCGTTTTGGTGAGCAGTGCTTTTCAGCAGAATATTTCTTCAATAATGGAGATTTCTTTTTACGAGCAACTGGAGATCGTCTTCTCGGTGATAAAGATCTTTGTCTTGGCGAGTATGATCTCTGGGAATTAGCAGATGTTGATGGTGATGGAGAATGTACTTTACGTTTCACTTTTAGTTTGGGTGGTGGTGGTGGTGGTGGTGTTGGTGATCGATATTTCTTCTTTTGATGTATTTCCTGACTTTCTATTACAGGCAAGTTCCTAAAAACAAGAAGTGAAAATAATTAAAATGTTATGCTACACATAACATGATGCTGTAACAAGTCACTCACTGTGCACACATGAAAAACATACACAAGTGCAATGCCCTACATACTAAATCAAAGAAAGCTTAGAAAGAACTTCCGTGTGCTGAGAGTATTGAAGACACATTAAACATTAATTCAAAATTGCTTAGCAGAAAACTACCGAATTCGGCTGATACCCCGCCCATCCTAAACCCCGCCCATGGGCGATGTTTCAAATAGTGGGCGATGTTTTGATCCACACATTGCCCGACTGAACCAACAAACATTTTTACAGACCCCAATTTTCCTGTCCGACATCTTGCATCAAGCGGACTATTTCAAATATGACGCTAAAAATAATTCACTGTGAAGTCAAAAAGCATAAAACTCTAATAAATCCAATGCTGTATAAGAATTGTTGTTGCGTATTATGACTCGTTAATACATTTCACTTAGGTTTATTACCGCACGTAATTCAAACACGTGGTTATTAGAGTTCAGTAGAAATGTACGTGAATAATGCGATCGCTGCGAGTTTATTATATTATAGTAAAATTTAACTTGACGCATGGTATGGTTATATTACATGTTCACTTCATTTCGAATAAAATAATTCACCATTGGAAGTGGAACATCGATGAATCAAAAGTATTTAAAATATTTTCTCGACTTTCCGTAGACACCTGACTACTATCTTTTTCAATGATTTAAATGTGCCCATGCATGTTTATGTTTGCGTAATTATTACGAATGCAACGCATTATCAAGTCGGTAATATTGAAATATTCACAGACCCAATAACCTGGGGTCAGTGCCCTAACAATAGTAAAAAAAAAACTTTACGTAATTATCATGAAAGCAATACATTACAAAGTTGTAATATTCAGAGCCGGTACAATATTGTAAACAAATCTGCGTAATTAGAAAAGCAGTGCACTAAGTAAACGACGTTGACATATTCAAAGCCAGTACAGAGTTGCTTACAAGTTGCGCAATTACAGTACCGTAATTTTACAATAATTTTACAATAATTTTACAAGAATAATTTTACAATAATAATAATTTACAATAAATAATTTTACAAGATCGACACGCGGAGCACAAAAAAAAAAGGGTTGCTAAGGTAACGCACCAGTTCAGTGCGTGACTTGGGGTCAAAATTCGGTCAACACACATTTGATGTCAGCATCGCCGTGCAGCAAGTTTCGCAAAGAAGTACTTGAAGCTCGATTGTGTCCCAAAATGATGTCGCTGATCACTCAGTTGTCGCAGCACGTGTTCTGTCATGTACATGATGCACCCAGTTTCGACTTTGGCTTGCTTTTCCTTCTTAGTGCATGTTCTTGTTCATGTAAAATGCGATCTCTCACCAATGTATTAAAACACTTTGAATTTATACTTAGCATGATTATATTTGGTCAACGCGAAACATTATTTTTTTTAAACATTTTCTGAGACCATTTCTATCAACGCAGGGTTATTTTTCCAGTCAAGATGGACTTCATAATATCTGCCATAACATTGCCCGGGCGATCTTTTGGTCCACATTTTATTTTAAAAAAATCGAATCCTCCATCACCCAGGGCGGGGTATCAGCTGAATTCGGTAATTATGTAAATCAGGTAACTGATATGAAAAGATTTGAGTGTAAAACTAATAAGGTCTGCGTAATGTAATATCTATGTACCAAGTTTCATTGAAATGTGATTAGAACAAAAAAAGTATGAATTATTATTATTATTACAGAATTAATACATGTATGAACAAATTTCAACCCAAAATTAATCGGGCCTGTCTATTGTTCTGGAGCATTTATGTACCAAATTTTATTCAAATGTAATGATCAGTAATTGAGATATCAGTGTTAATTAATTATTTTAATTAGGTGATTAACAAGTCATTGTTAATGACACAGTCCTCGTCCAAAATTTTGTGATCTGACATATCAATTTGATGCTTTTACACAAGAATTGGACATTGAGCAGTCATACTGAATCAAATTACAAAAATTATGTTCATGTTGATGTATCTATTGGTATACTGTCTTTGTACAAAATTTAAACTGAAATGTTCATTGTATTCATGGGAAAGTAGGCATGGGTATCATGAAAAACACCAGTCAGCCATATTAGTTTGAATCACAGAAAAGTTATGACATGCAACTATAACCCAATATGTAAGATCATCATACAAACTTTAATCCAAATTGGCCTAGTCATCTCTGAAAAACAGCTCCGGACAAGTAAAAATGACGATTTCGCACTTTTATATGAAAATTGGGCATTAGCCGGCCATATTGAATTGAATCACAAAAATAATGTTGGTGCAGATGTATCTCTTGGTATACTATCTTTGTACAAAATTTAAACAGAAACGTTCATTGCATTTCAAGATAAAGTAGCATGGTTACTATGAAAAACAAGATGGCCGCCAGTCCGCCATATTTGTTTGAATCACGGAAAAAAAATGTGTGCACCTACAACCCAATATGTATGATCATCATACCAAGTTTGATCCAAATCGGCCCAGTCATCTCTGAGAAACTACTGCGGACACGTTTAGGTATCAGAAATAGCAAATTTTTACATCCAAAATGACCGCCAGTCGGCCATTTTTGCTTCGATCATAAAGTAACTTGACTCACATATGTAAGACATTATGTATTGTCTTCATGTAAAGTGAATCTGTCAATGGGTGTCTGAGATATAGCTCCCCGACGAACGGAACAAACCCAAATTAATAGTTCGAACAGGGACTAAAAAAGAACATTACAAATTTAAGGTAGCGAGACTATTATTTGTGTTGAAAATTACGATTTCCACATTTATTTATTAATTGATGAAATGCACTATAAACTTTCATGTGATAAAGTCAACATAACATAGAATGTCATGTAAGTTGGTTAAAATGTAATTTTCTGAAGGGGAGCATGACAGCGACAGTAGTGTTTTCCAAAATCAACAACACAGGTTCAATCTGTGTGCCTATAAGTTTCAAAGTTAAACTCAAGACAAAGCAATGTTAGGATGTGTTATCAGTTAGCTATCTGACACACAATGAGTGTTTCCAAACATTTGAGTGGTTTGTCTCTGCCTCTGTTTGTTTCACAGATTTCATTTGTATATGAATGTGTCAACACAAGTCACACAGCCACTGAAAAAATCATTGATTTTGGTGTTTCATCTGCCGATTTTATCGAATTAAGCTATCCCATTCCTTATTTT